CAACACAATTGATAAAAATAATTATTGAACAATTTATTTTTTGCAATAAAATAAAATTGGCTCAAGTCAAATAAGTAATAAATTAATAACAATTTAGGTAAGTATAAAGAACTTAAATTAGCCAGTATTAAAGCACATAATTTCTTGTTTTTAAATCTGCATGCTCTTTTACTTCGTAAATTGATTTACAAGAAAGAAAAAAAAATAATATTAAGTATGCAGATAAAAATATTTATTGAATTAATTTTTGTCAAACGGAAAAAAAATTATAAGGGCTACAATAAAATAAAAGGAACTCAAGAAAAAAAGCACCGTTGACTTCAGATTTTATTGTTTTTGATACATTTTTTCTATTTATAAGTCAGCTATCTCATACGAAAAATCTCATATAATTCTATTTTCCTCATTATTCTATTCAACAACGGTTATAGAATAAAATTATTTAACAATTTGGAATGAAGAAAATCAGCAAAAATGTGGTCATAAGTTTAAAAATAAACATTGCATCCAATGATGCAGCATCATTCAAAGTGTGTAGAAATCAATATTTTTAATTTTAACCTTGCTTGTTAACTAAACGCTTCGGTGAATGTACGAATGACAAACGCAAATTTCTTAATTTAACCCTTTAATGGGCCCTTTATTTCTAGTAAAGGTAAATTAAAGTATTTTTGGAATTGAAATTGTTTTAAGAACAGTAATTGATATAAAAAAAAACTCATTTAATTTATGAAAATGCCATTTTTTGGGTGGTAAATATATTTAACATGACCTATTAGGAACTTACTCACTTTTANAAAAAAAACTCATTTAGTTTATAAAAATGCCATTTTTTGGTGGTAAATATATTTAACATGACCTATTAAGAACTTACTCACTTTTATTTTTCTTTATTTATAAAATAAATTCCTTAAATGCTACAAACTTCAAAAGGAATTATGTATTTTATAACTTTTATACGTTTTTTAAAAGTGACAAATGGTTACCAATTTCATTCAAGCTCTCTTCAAGAAAGCTGAAGTTATTGAAAAATAGAAACCTAAATTAAAAGTGGTAAAACGTGGTGGTAAGTATACTTACCACTGCCTTCAAAAGGGTTAAATTTATGTGTCAATGAAATATGCACGACAAATATTTTACAATAAGTTTATAAATAGAAATATACTACACTCAATAGAAATATACTACACCTAATTTGAAATAAATTTTAAAATTACCTGAAATTAAAAAAAAAAGGAATCTTATTTTTTAAGTTTCACAATCATTGCTCTCTAACTAGTAGTGGTAACTAGTAGTAGTGCTAACTAGTAGAAGTAACAAAGGTAAAGTATTAATATTTTAATTAGAATTGAGAGAATTTGTCCACAGCTGTATGTAAAATATTTAAGCAAATATATAAAAGATCAGACTGTTAAATGCACATGTGCGTAAGTTATAATAAAAGATTTTAAAAGTTATATTCTTTTAACGGCAGGCACTGAACTTATGGTTCATCGCTGTGGAAGGTGCCGGATGTGTTGCTCATTTTGCCTTGCTGATGAGCACCTTGTATCGACGTGCAGCATTACCTACACTATTCTGCCTCAGATACCCTTTCATAGAGTGGGCCACACTCACACACACAAAACAGATGACAACACGCAGAGCGAAATATACGTGCCCTGAGCAGGATTCGAACCCGCAGTCATTGACATCGCAATCAGACACGCTAACCGCTCCGCCAGTTTGCCGGCTGTATTCTTTTTTATTTTAAAAAGAAAATATCTGATTTGTACCTCTACTGCAATAAAAGGTCGGAAAATATTACCTTTGGTGCAAAGAATGTTGAAAAGTGGTAGATTCTTCAATTCAATTTTCAAGTTTGAAAGTGATTTACTTAAGAAAAACTATTGTCGGAATAAAGAAGTATACATACTTCTTTTTGTTACCTACCACTTTAAATTTTAAAAAAATAATCAGCCTTACTTACCATTAATATTTTCTCACCAGCCACCCCATAGACTGCTGAACTCGAACCGTTTTTTATTATAATTTTTCTGTAGCATTACATGATGTATGGGATATGGGCCTTCTGCGCGTCCAAGGTGCCCAATTTTTGTAAATAAAGTAAAGTAAAAATTATTATTTTCTAATTTTTTTAATCATCATATGGGGAGCTCCCGTGAAGCTGCAGATTTACTATTCCTATGTTAGATATCGTACGGCAGCGCTGTTTACGTTATAATTCCTTCACTTGTTACATGTCTCCCCTATTTGTATCTATAATTTATCGATCTTGTCCCACGCTTTTTATTCGTTCTGCGTCTGAATATAGTCTTATTATTACTTTTCATTGTATAAAGCCTTCGATTTCGTTTTCATGCCTTATTGTTATCTATTCGGATTTTTCTTTATTGTAATTCATTTATTTTATAACACCGACTACTCCTTTGGGACGCCGTTATTCATTCGACACTTCTGGCGTAGTTTTATTGACCTCTGTGATCATTTTTGACCTCACTATGTCCCCTCCTTCTTTTTCTCCTGTCTATTTTTATATCAAACACTGATTTAATTCCCTATCATATAATTTGCCTTTTTTTCAGACGAAAAAAATTGCAAAATTAGGCTTGACTTTATAGCGTGCATAACTTTATAAGCAAATGATGTTGATTGATAGCATAAAACGCTGAAATCACTGAAAAATGTTCCAAAAGAATAATAAGTATCCATAATCAGCGCAAAAATATTCTGATGTTGCAACTAATTGAGGCCCGAAGGAGTAGCTTTTATGGAATAAGATCTACATCTTATATGTAGTAATAGTGTTATCTTACTACGGTAATGAAAGAAAACTTCAAAGTTCTAGCAGCATCTGAGAGAAAAAAAAGTTTTTTTAACATTTACATAAACACTGAGCTAATTCAATCATTCAAATTAACAAAAGAATTACAAATAAAACGCTATATTCCATTTTTTATAAAATAAAAAATAGAACTTTATGATTCAAAACTTTTAAGATAATTATTTAATATTGTATCTTAGATCTTAATATTATATCTTAGATCTTGCTGTAAAAAAATTTTAGTTCGAGATGATGCTATTATAGACAATATTATTTAAATAATCATATGTGTAATCTTATCAAAAGGCATTTTACTGTTCTTCCGATAGGGTACTATTTTTTTCAAAGCACATAATTGAAGAAAGTCGCACGCAATCTCCTCAGTTTTTATGATATAATAAAATTCATTCATAAAATAAAATATTCAAATCTAGATGCTTCTAACCCATGAAGATAATAAAATGTTACAAGATAAATAAAATAGTTATAATCACCAAAATAAAATAAATTTCTTTCGCCGTTACTGTAAGATAATATCTTCAAGAGATGATATTAAAGATAATATTGTAAGAATATAATATACTCAGTCATTCAATGACTTCGCGTTACTTAAAATAACTTTAAAATTCATAATGGCAATTTTACCATCATCATTGATAATTTGTTGCGTATTGGAGGGTTTTTCCAATATTGTAAGGATAGCACACAAAAGTTACTTCGATATTAAGTTAGGTTAACCTTTTCTGGTACAGTCAGGGGGTGAAAGTCTGTATTTATGAAAACTGAAAACAGTAAAAACTGGTAACAAATAAATTTAATTTTTAGATTTTTTTCGGAAATTATAAAATATCCATAACTACCAAATTGTTTTTATTACTGTATTTAATAATAATCAAAAAAAATATTTAATTGCAATTTTTACATTATTTTAAAGAATCTAATCTTATATGGCAAAATACGAAACTTAAACAAAATTGGGGGAAACAGTACCTGGGAATTTGAGTTTCTAAAAAGTCAGTTATTTAAAGTTCTAATTTGACCGGTTTTGTTCAAATTTAACACTAACAAAAAGTAAAACTAACATTTAGGGGGGTAAGCCTTTGACCGCTCCTCTGATCGAACTATTAGGACCCTATTTCCCTATTTATTTAGTCTGTCTATAAAAATAATCTGTCGAAAAAAAGGTATGTTTGTACTGCATACCCTCCAACTGCTACGGAATTTCCGTAGTTTCAGAAATCTTTTCAGACGGTAGCAAAATTAATGTCTTAATATTTAAAAAAAAATTAATTTTAGCGTAACTCGTCCACTATTACTTATAAAAGTGCAGGCCATATGGCTAGATTCTTAAGTTCTGATAAAAGTTTTATGAGAGATCCATTTGCTTTAAAAAAATCTACTTTGGTTCGCTACCACTAGAAAGAATTATTTTCAAAATCTTCATAAGTTGGAGGGTATGACTGAGAAAGTACATTTTTTGTCTGATTTCGTAACTTAAAATATCGTTTGCACCACTAACTAATTAGTATATTTAATATCACCCCCTCAAACCATTAAGATTAAATTCCTTGTACATGAAAATGAGATAGTTGGATCAAACGTTATTCAGAGCGTTTCGCTTTTTAAGCTCTGCACCCCACGTTAAATCACTTTCCTTGAATTTCTAATTCAGAAAACGCTCTTTAGTTTGAGGTTGCCGGTTCGTTTAGGTAGCTCCCAGTAGAAAAATATCAATTCAACAGCGGCCTTTTAAAGCATTCTCACTTCAATTAATTAATTAATTCCTAATTGAGTTTAAATTAAATATTGTCATGTTTTTAGTGCATGAATCTGAATTGAACAACCTGATAATGCTCACTCTGGTTATTGTTATCTGGTTGCTCACTACGTGCTCTTGCGCGCCGAATCCAATCAGTTAAAAATGAAAACTGTTGCCAGCGCGAAAAAAGAAATATCATCGGTTTTATTGATACATACGTACGTACGTATTAGCGTTTTATATAATATAGATTAGCGACATATTCACTTCCCATGACGTCACGGTTTTATTCACGTGCTTTGGAACACTTAACCTCATCTGGATTTAATGATGCCATTGATATCTCTAAATAAGATATTAAAATGATAAGATACTTTTTGGCAATATAATTTTTATTTCTCTTTCGCACTTGTATAACAATAACACAAGATTTTAGCAAACATATTTTTACATACCTTTCATAAGTATAAGTAAAATTTCTCAAATAAATTTCCTTGAATTCTTTTTGTAAATCATCCTAGCTTACTTCAAGTTTCAGGTGTTTCTAATTCATAATGCAAAACGTAAAAGAAATACAAAATTCAAAAGGATTTGAATCAAAGAGTAAGTAAAAAATCAGAACTTTGTAATTGTTTTTAATTTGCATATTCTTCATTTGCAACAATATTCAAAGATAATTTAATTTTACTTAATATTTCGAGTATGTACTCGTACTAGCTAAAAGTGAGTTATTTCTTTCGTACCGAAGCATGCACTCCCGCTTGCTTTTGGATGAGGATTTTTCTTTAATCATATTAACTATGCCCATGACAGTTTGCGAATCATAGCAAAATTGATTCATGTACTCCATAGCAATCAGTAAGGTTTAACTGGACGTTATAGAATTATTGTTTTTTCGATGAGATTCAATTTTCAGTTATACGCTCTTTCATTTATACGTCAATTTGCATTGGTCTTCTAAAAGACGTGTAAATAGTGCTTTACCGTTTTAATCAGTGTGAAAACCATTTGAAAAGTTATTGTAAAGCAGGCAGTTTGAGAATTTCAGCAAATTTGATTCATGTAGCCTATAGCAAAGGCTAGTAAGTTTTTCATATGATAACTAATGGTAATAATAATAATACCATTGCTTGACAGCTTCTTCATGTATGACAAGAATATTTTAAACTCTGGAGTGGCCTTGTGCGATTATCTTGGTCGCTTGTACTGGAATGCGAATTGACTTACTTTTTATTGTTCCTCGTTCTTATTTAGTTGCTACATTTTCTCAAGGTCACTGCAATTGGAAATAAAGAGCAGTGTATGCTAAAGGATTAGAGAGCTTGTCTTCCAATGAGGTGAACTTGGTTCGAATCCCAGCGAAGACTGGTTTGCTACGAATTCCGCAACCGGCTCGAACCGACCACAGTGCTGACGTAAGATATCCTCGCTGGTAGATAGATCTTTGGTTAGAGTCTCTCTGCCGTCAGGCCTATCACAGGATGAGTTCGCGGTTTTCCTCTCCATGTAACACAAATGCGGGGGTTAGCTTCATCAAAAAGTCCTCTACGAAGGCAAAATTCATCTTAATACTTGATCGAGGAGTTCCCTTGTCTTCTGGATTGGGTCAAAATTTACAAGACTATGGAGTTGAACATTAGTCGTTAATACAAAAAAATTGGGTCAGCTGTACAACGACGGTTATAAAATAAAATTAGAAAGAAAGAAAATAATACTGTGAGAGGGATATGATTTTGAAAATGTTGTATCTTAATTTTCCACTAACTTTTAACTAGACAATGTTATCCCCATGATCCATAGAAAAATTGGGATTGCCTTAATCATACCTCAGTAAATGTCACACAGTGTCAAAACGACTAGTTTACGATGTAGACTTGAGTAGTTAAGAGAACTTTAGAAGCCCAGTTGGTATAGGCGTCGCACGCACCTCAGGTGTAAGGCCGGGAGCCATAATTGTGAGTATAAACGAAGAGAAAGAGAAAAAAAATGGCGAGTGTACACAAAGCAAGGTGCACGATAAATCTGTCATTGCTGAAAGTCCTCTCATTGATTGTGTAAAGATATTTGAGGGGGTATTAGCTCAGGCGTTGTCTACGTCGTTTGATTTGGGTCAAAATTACGTGTCATTTCTACCATAGCCGCTAAGAGATGGAGACCTAAAAAATGAGGTTATGCTTTTAACTCTTTCAATTGCTCTCCAATTAATCCTGGCTGTGGAAACATGTCCAAGAAATAGACTTGAAAAGTAATTTTCAATGGAAAATACCAGGTGGCAATAGTTACCCCGGTAAATAAAGAGGTAACTATACTCTTGCCCATACCCTCCAACTGCTACGGAATTTCCGTAGTTTCATAAATCTTCTTTTCAGACGGTAGCAAAATTAATGTCTTAATATTTAAAAAAAATTAATTTTAGCGTAACTTGTCCACTATTACTTATAAAAGTGCAGGCCATCTAGATTCTTAAGGTCTGATAAAAGTTTTATGAGAGATCCATTTGCTTTAAAAATTTCTACTTTGGTTCGCTACCACTAGAAAGAATTATTTTCAAAATCCTCATAAGTTGGAGGGTATGCTCTTACCCATAAGTCTGCAGATGTATATACGTTTATGTCCTAATACGGAGACAGGTTATAAGTTTTTGTCAAGTTGAGAACAAATAACACAAATTCGCGAAAGACATCACAAATATTTACCCTGGATAACGACGGGATTTGAGCCTCCACACGGTTTCTTATGGGTAGTCCTATCAGACCACTATGAAGGTAAACTAGTTTGCGAATGAAACACTTAATAGAATATCTAGTAAAAATAAGAAAGTGATAGCAAATATATGTCAATTTTTTTTTAAAATTTATGAATATAATTGGTTTGTCTTATTTACTTGTCTACCACCAAAGATTCATTTCTCAAATATATATGATAACTTTCTCTCGATTACTTCAGAGATGCCAACTGCTCCGGACACGCCAAAGTAATTTAAAAAACGGTAAATAACTACAAAGTAAATTTTGAAACTATTCGACTGTTTTTACTTGCTTTTTAAACGGCATAGCATGACATATATGCCTTAAAATGGTGAATTATATAAGCCTACGAATCATCTAGAAATAGTGGTGGATAAAAATCTACTAAATTGAATTTATTAAACTAAGAATCTCAATTGATAAACTACCACTTTAAAATATATATTTGCTGCCCGGAGCAAGTTGACACTTCTGTTACTTTTAAAATAGAATTTGGTTTCATGCAAATCACTGATTTACTTTCTAAATAGTCTACGCAGACAACTTGTTAAAAACCGTGTGGTGGATTTCTAGTGTAGGTGATGTTTGAGCCCGCTCCAGAACGTTTGGCTCATTGGCGTGACAGTACTGATAAAGAGGCACCAACAACATTTACAAATTATTTCCTTCTCTAATTGTTTGAGAAACTTTTAAAACTCTTTCAAAATTCATTGCCCATATAGTCATACCGAATGACGCCGGTAAATAATTATGTATGCAGCAAAATACTTAAACGGAAAAAAATATAAAAATAATTTACTACCACTTTTTTGTTTAAATTTTTTTTATAATATTATAAGCTTATTTATTAACTTGATCAGTATTGATGAAATTCAAGTTTATTACTAGAAAGCTTGCACTTTAGCCAGCTTTGTTTTGCTTAAGACTGATTCACCATCTAGAATGACGGCATTTAGATGCAATAGGTTTCAGAAAAATCGGGACATAGGAATTAAATTGCGAATGGGTAGAATTAAAAATAGCGTACGCAGAGATACCAACTTGCTCCGGACAGAGAATAAATATTTTCGAGTGGTAGTTTATTAATTGCGATTCTTGGTTTAATAAATTCAATTTATTTGGTTTTTGTCCACCACTATTTCTAATCAATTCGAAGGCTTATATAATTCACCACTTTGTTATAGTCAAGTTATACTAAACCTTTTAAAAAGCAAGCAAAATTAGTCAAGTATTTGCAAATTTTAGTTGTAGTTATTTACCGTTTTTTAAACAATTTTGACGTGTCCGGAGCAGTTGGCATCTCTGCGTACGGACGGGATTTAAAAAAAATAATTTACAGAAATACGAATTACAATTGAAAACGTTATTTAACTAGCAACAAAAAATCCACCGAAATATGTATTTGGGGAATTTTAAAAGTAGAATGAAGTCTGAAACATTTAGCATGAAAAGTAACTCAACATTCATCTAAAGACAACGAATCTAACTATGGGTCTATCATCTTAATGATGGGTTGACTCTGCTTTCAGTGAGAGTTGCAGAAATACAAAAAATATTTAGTGTTCGTTCGGAGTAGTGGAACTGGGCGTCTGAGGCCCTACAGCCCTTTTCTCATTCATCCTGCAATTAGACTATGAAACATACATGACAAAAATAAAGGTTGGGGAGCAAAATGGAGTTCGTGAGAGAAAAAGAAAATGGCACTTTGCCCTTATTAGGTATTAACAAAATTACAAGCAATAAAAAAGTACGTGAAAAAAGGTAAAATTAAAGTACAATGGGAAAATAAACACTTATATTTACAGTTTGGGAGTACATAGAATAAGAGGGTCGAGTTTAAAGAGGCCGTCCTGGTAATTACCACTTAAGTTACGGAGATTAGCTTACCCCTGATTACACCCCGAGGGGTAAGAATATTTAGTGTTGTTTACACTCTATATTATTTGAGTTCGAACAAAATAATTTTAAAGTGGTAGTAAAAAAAAATAGAATTCTTTTAGATTGTTTATAAAACTTCTACTCTACCAGGGTTCCCACGACCTGGAAAAATAAATGAATGGTGGCTCAGGCGGCAAAATGTTTGAATTATTAATTGATATATTCATTATCTTTCATTTGGGAATTATCCCATTGCTATCATACATATTTCTTTTACAATAAGTATTCATTGGAAGCAAAACGAGATTTATCTTACTTTTGCTACCATTAAAAAAAAAAAAAACTCAGACTGTGGGTCAACTGTTTTAAGAGCATGACCACGACCACTTGTTATACAATTAATAACACTATCTGCTAGATATGTTTGCTTAATTTACTTATTTGAAGTGGTAGACAAAATTCTTTCAATTCTAATTTGTTCAAATAGTACTACTCAGCGATGCCAGCATGCCCCGGACTGCGGATAAGTATTTTCTAGTGATAATATAGGCTTATGCATACCTGCCAACTTTTAATCCTTTCCATTATAATTTTTCCCAGTGGTATTAAAATGGAATTAAAACTTCAATTATAAGTAAGCAAATACGTTGTATTTGAGACAACCATGATAGTAACGCATATTTATATATGAGCTTAACTTTTGTAAGAATAGTGGTGATCAAAATCATTTAAAAATTAAATTTATAAACGAAAAAATAGAATATATTTACTACCACTTTAAATATGAAAATAAAATCTTCGGGAAAATCCGGAAGAGTTGGCAGGTATGCTTAAGTGAAACGATACACTTAAAGCCCCTGAATTAGACAGGCCGATTTATTGTTGGAGCAAAGAGCTAACAGAAGCACAGAGAATAAATATTTTCAAGTGGTAGTTTATTAATTGTAATTCTTGGTTTAATAAGTTCGATTTAGTGGATTTTTTTCCACCACTATTTCTAAACAATGCGTAAGCTTATATAATTCACCACTTCATAGTACTTATGGCATGCTTTACATATTTAAATGCAAGCATATATTGTCAACTATTTGCAAAATTTACTTCGTTGTTATTTACCGTTTCTTAAATTATTTTGGCATGACCAGAGCAGTTGGCATCTCTGTAATAACATAACGTTAACTTGTTTGCTCCAATATTGCTTGATAGGTCAGCTCTGATAGTATAGGAGCCTTAGATACATTGTTATAGTTATTTTATAACCATCGTTGAACAGTCAATCCAATTTTGGGTTTACGGCTACTACTGTTACTCCGTAGCCTTGTAATTTTGAATCCAAATCCAAAAGACATAGGAATTCCTGGATCAAATATTGAGATAAATTTGTCTTCGTGGAAGTCTTTTTGATGGATTTAACCCGTATTTGAGTTACATGGAGAGGAAAAGCACGAAAGTCTCCCACGGTTACCCTGACGGCAAGGGGATTCTAACCTATGATCCATCTTCTCACTGCGAATGTTTTACATCAGCACTGTGGTCGGTGCGAACCATGTACGGAATTCGTATCGACGACCCATCTCTGGGATTCGAACCCAGTTCGTCATTTTTTTTATTTTATTTTATGACCGCCGTTGAACAGCGGACCCAATTTTTGGGTTTACGACTACTAATGCTCAACGCCGTAGCCTTGCAATTTTGAACCAATCCGGAAGACAAGGAAACTCCTGGATCAGTACCCCCAGAGGTATTGATTTGTTATGGGAAGATGGAGGACTTAAGAAACTCAACAGATTTAACGTGCATCAGTCACCATTTACTACACGGGGAGTCTTCGACCCGCGGGGACCGAACCCACGAACTCTTGGACATGGGCCCGGCACCCCACCGACCAGGCTATCCCGGCCTAGTAGCGACAATTTATCAGAATTATTGCCGTACCTGTGGACCTGCTACAAGGGGAGTATTAGTTGATTATATAGTTGATTATGGCAATAAATAGAAATCATTTGCCATAATTGGATGTTAATCTATCAAGCCATCGTTACTTTGGTTAGATAATGGGTTTGGTGTTTACCAATATCTTCTAGTGGTTCCATTATGGTGTTGTTCATCGCCTGTAAACTATTGAATTTGAAAAATTAGTATCATGAGAAACAAACTTATCTAATTTGGCTTACTGCCTTAGAACACGATTAGAAACTTATGTTAGAGCTAATTGATTACGTACCCTATGTTGGTGTTTTGGTTATTTAGCCTAATTAGGTCCATATTGCTTAGTTTGCACCTTGAGAAAAGTTGTGTGTCTAATTTGAGCCGACACCTAGATCTTGGATAGCCTACTGTTAAAATTATCACATCAGATGTTAATTAGTTATTTTACATTGATTGACTAGCAGCGTTACATAACAGACCAGGGCTGAAAGCCTATATATATCAGGACGGAAAAGAGTAAAAACTGGTAACAAATAAATTTCATTTTTTATTTTTTTTTCGGGAATAATAAAATTCTTTAATTACTAATTTGTTTTTAACAGATACAATTTTTATCTTGAATTGCTTCTCCGCCGAGTAAACGTTAATTAAGGTGAATTGTTCTTTGTTGAAAATAGATTAACTCCACCCGAATAAAATCTAATATTGAAATAGTTCTCCTACCAGTATTTTCTCTTTTCCGTCTCGCTTTCAGGCCTGTTACAGACTCAAAGCCTGTTCGTCATTGGAAGGTGGACGCTGCGTCTCCCAGGGGTGAAAGCGAGACGGAAAAGAGAAAAGGCTGGTAGTAAAACCATTTCAGTTATAGTTAGTTATCGGGAGGAGTTTACTTATTCTTTTTTTAAACTATTCTACAATATCTATTTTTTCTTGGAAAAGAACCAGATTAATATATATGTTAAAATCTTAAAGAAATCTTGATAGTTACAGATATTTTATTTTTCTCAAAAAAAATGCTATAATAAAATGCCTTTCGTACCAGTTTTTCCTCTTTTCCGTCCTTCTATATAAGGGCTTTCAGTCATGGTGACCCCTGAACTCTTTGTTGAACAGTTTTACCATAAATACAACGACTTAGAATACTCTCAACTCATAACGGCCCTTATCTCATTCACAAGATAAACGAGATAAAGGCCGCTGCTGGGACCACATGCCCAGATTTCTAAAACAGACAAGGACAGTTTGATGTTGACCCTTTTAAAAAATTGGCAAAATTAACCAAAATTCTACAAATTAGTTTATAGTTTTCTACCATTTTCTTAAACAATTTCATGAATCTGGAAAAGATGGCATCACTGTATATCCTTTAAACTTTTGGCTACGGTGCCTGATTGCACATGATGGACCATCCGTTGTATCAGCCGTAAGTGAAAGGTTAATACCACGCGAAAAAAATATTTTCTGGAACTACGAAAATTCCGGAAGGATATGCATATTGATTTATTCTTCCACTTTAATTTTTAGAAATGATAACATTCTATTTTCCAAGAAGATATGTCTTGATCATTCTCGGCTTCCTTGGAATGGTCAGTGTGTATACAATGCGAGTGAATCTCAGCGTTGCTTTAGTTGCTATGGTCAACCAAACAACAACGTCTTCAAGTAATGGATCACTTCATGAATTTGTGGAATGTCCAAATCTTCTGAACGCTGGTACTCAGACTGAGAGCACACAGTTCAAAGTAAGGCTTGTTTATTATTAACCTCTTCTGGACTAGCGAATCATAAATGTATAGAGTCAGACTCCGGAAGGAAAAAAAAGGAAAAAATGGTAGTGAGCATTGCTAGTACAATTATTTCTGCTAAAAATATGGCTAGGCATATTAGGGTATAAAAATCATGAGTTTAACAATAAATATTATCTATGCAATTCATTTAGCCGTGGTGGCTCAGGGGATAGAGGAGTCGCCTCCCAATAAGATAAACTGGGTTCAAATCCCAGCCAGGGTAACTTTTGGATATCTTCGTGGTTTTCTTCTCCGAGTAACGTAAATGCGATTAGTTCCATTAAAAAAGTCCTGCATGAAGATATATTTTGTAGTCCTGCAAATTTGCGGTATAATCTGTACCCTAAAGAAAGAAACCGAGCACAGTGTGATTGATTTTGTAAAATTCAGTGAGTTTGAAAACTTTTCTAGAATTTCAAGAAAATTCTACTATGGTGACCATATACGCAATCTTGGTTAATGTGAAAAATTGTGAGAACATTCACTAACCCTAATTCAAAATTTACGCCAGCGATAAGTGGCTGTACTTCAGAAATCGTTCATCGGATCCTAACCATAATGTAAATCATATGGAAGAAGTTCGATATCATAAACATGCGGTCGTTCTTCGATAGTTGTTGTTTAGAGACAGTCATAAAGGGAGGTTTTACTGTATACATGTTACTGTGAATGACCGAACTGCCACTTGTGAATATTGACATTCACATAGTTACTTTGGTAAATGTCCGAAATAGGTCTAGTTAGTGCCATTGCTCGGTATACATTTGCCCACTATACCCTACACCAGTGTTTCCCAAACTTAGGACTTTTGTGTACCCTTTCGAAATTTTTCGTAACACGGTGTACCACTAATACAAAATAAATCTATTTTTTACTGTAAAAAATTGCCCAAAAGTTAAAAATCACAACTGGCTGTTGATACCCCTAATTATTAACTGTTAACTCTACAAAAAATAGTCAATAGAAAAATACGTAATCGTAAATTTTCATGGCTAGCTTTGTTTTTAAATAAAATTTTGAGAAATTTTCTTTTGTTGCAAGATATTTCGCATAAGAACGCGTACCCCCACTAAACTGTTCCTGTACCCCTGGGGGTACGCGTACCACACTTTGGGAAACACTGCCNTATATATATATATATATATACACATTATGCTGCGCTGCATGAAAAAAAACCTGACATCGAATAATACGAACCAAAATCTGACTCCTGTATCTCCTCATTACCCACTTTATTAAGGAACACTCCTTTGATATTTGCAATTTTCTGATTGATACATAGCCCGGAATTTGTTTGATTGAAGGAAAAATTATTATTTGAATGCCAAACTTTTTATGAAAGGTTAAGGTGTAAAAAGTTCTAAAACATATACAGATCTAGCAATGATAATGATTTAGGAGCATTTCCCCTTTAATTTATGAAATAAATCATAAGAATTATAGTTTTATTTATTTTTTTGTTTAAATTTTTAAACTTATTAAAATAAGTTAATATTTCCTGCTTTAAATCTCACTTTTCCTTCTCCAGACATCCTTACTTTCAAAAACTTTCAACTACAATTTAGGATAAAAGTGGGTCAGAGGAAAGTTTGGGAAACATTTCATTTCTCAGAGATCTCTAAATTAGGGACCTCTTCTGGGGAGAGAATTATTATTTTACCTTTAAAGGACTCATTTAAAGGAATTATGATTAAAAGTATTATTGGAAGGTAAATAAACATATAAGATTTTTAAGAAATCCTGTAAAGCTCTCTCGTTAGAAAAAAAATAATCATAATGGAAAAAAATATTACCTGGGAATGTATAAAATAAAAGACAATATAATTAAAAAAAATTTAAACTAATTATTTAGTTACTGCTGACTTTGTTCTTTTTCATATTTAATATAAATCAGTTCTATTTACTGCACCCATATTAAGGTTTAAAATTACAACGAAAGCCTTACTCTACATCTTGCGTTTTTAAATTCAGATTAAAAAGTTGAAGAATTAAAACCACTCTTGAAAACTAACGCGCAATGAATATTTTCTTTTACTATATACTTACAAAAATATCATTCTTGTTCTAATAATGTAGAATTACTTAATACTAAGATGAACGCAAATTTCGAAACTCCAGATATATTTTCTTAATACAGGAAAAAAAAATTTTTTCGTTTTAAATATATATTTTGTAGTTAATTTTAAATTATTAAAGATGATTTTTAATATATCAAATTAATAAACATAACGAGTTCTCTTAAAGGTTTCTAAATGAATCAAAACACTGTTTATGAGAGCATTCGATACCACAGTTAAGTATAGCATAGAAGTCTGAAAAGTTAATTTTTTCCTCTATTAAAAAATGAATTGAAATGTTTAATTTAAATTTAAATGAAATTAATGTTTGAAAAATCATTTAGTTACATTAAAAACACCATTTTTACCCATTAAAAACTAACTTTAAATGAATGTAATTTTAAATACATTAATATATATATATATATATAGTTAAAAATTAAACTGAAAGCAGAAAATCGGAGAGAGATTCGTTTCTTACTTTTTTAAGGCGTACAGCGCAACTGGGATCTCCCAATCACTTCCAAAGGAGCCCCCAATATCTTGGGTGCATTCTTTTACGGCTAAAGTCATATTCAACTTTCGAGTAGCTTACTCGGGATGAAAAATTTAGTTATAATAAATGTTAAACACAAATTAATTCTTTTAGGGGACACGGTACAATTGGGATTCCAAAGTGCAAGGTACTATCTTAGGCTCTTTCTTCTACGGTTATATTCTTACTCAGGTACCAGGTGGAGTGCTGGCAGAGAGATTTGGTGGCAAGTGGCTGTTTGGAGTGGGTACATTTATTACAGCTGTTTTTTCGATATTAACTCCCCTTGCGGCCAGCTTGGGCACAACAGCTTTCATCGTTGTAAGAGTGCTTGAAGGAATTGGCGAGGTAAGATTGAAATTTAATTAATTGTTGCAGCTACTCACTTTTCTGATAGAGCCAAAAACATTTTCTTTACAAATGCATGCTTTATTGTTTAGCTCTTTCGATTAATAAACTTTGTTTCTAATCAAATTTAAAGCGTTTAATTTATTAATTTCCGTATTAAGATATTACATTTTTTTCAATGATCATTTGAAAAACGCCATCTATTGAAGTATTTCTGTTAAAAAGAAAAAATTTACGTTTATGTAACTTTAAAGTACCGATAGCATATAAAGAGTTGACTCATTAGCGTTCAATGTCTTTATTTGAATACAGATTTTTCCTTCTCATCCCCCCCCTCCCCAAAAAAAAATAAAACTATGGGTATGTTAGAATCAGCTTTATTTTATTCTTCAGTTTGTAATCTAATGATAATTTCAATTTTATTTAAAGATAAATTTAAATTCTCTTTTTTTCCGAAAAATTAAAATTACATTTACTAGTTGAATTCTAGAAACAGATTAATAAACATTGATGTTAGAACATATTACTATTTGACTTCATATTTCACTTTTATATTTTAAATAAAACAGCAGCATGAAATAAAAGTGCAAAATTAAAACAAATATTTTCAAATTACATTCAGTAATTCGATTTTTGAATTAGTCTCTACTTTTTTTTCTCGCTGCATCGAAAAAATTTTAAGGTGCCCCCAACACTTCGTCATGCTGTTTCCACCGAGTTTAAGTTCGTCAACTTCCACACATTAAACATTCGAATTCGTACCTCCTATAACTGAAAGCCTTCACACGGTATTTTAAAGCTAGTCCGATCTGACCACTGTGAAGGATATCCTCTTTCCGAACGAGTCATTTAATACAAAATCTTGTTAAAATAAGAAAGTGGTAGCAAATATATGACTAAAAAATTGTTTTATTTATTAATATTATGACTAACTTTTAAAATAGTCTGCGCGGGTGGATATAGTAAGAAGAATATAAAAGACTGTGTGGAGGCTTTCTGATGTAGGAGGTGATGCTTCGTATCGTTTTCATTTTAAAAATCTATCTTTATAGTATCTTATAACTGAGATAAAATCCTGGAATAATTAAATAGATATTCATTCAAACTTTATTCGTCTCAACTGCGATACGATCAAACTGTATTTAATAATTATCAACTCACTGTCACATTTGTTTTCTTTGTCGAAGAAGTACGTAGTTTTGTGGTACCCCGAAAGTGACACTAAATTGGCAGAAAGCCCTTACACAATCTCATATTGATAGTTTGATTAGATTACTGTGAAAGTCACTCAGTTCACGAAAGAGTATTGAAGAGAAATTTAATAAGAAATTCAATTTGCTTAGAAAATCTAGAAGAATAAGAAAGTGGTGGAGAATATATGACTAAATAACTTTTTAACTTCTGAATACATTGGTTTGTCTTATTTACTAGTCAACTACCACAGATTCAATTCTCAAATATATATGATAAATTTCTCTCAATTACTGTTAAAATAGAATTAGGGCTCATGCGCACAATTGGTTCACCTTTTAAATGCTCTGCGATAACTACTTGTAAACATCCGTGTGAAGGCTTTCGAATGTTGGAGGTGATGCCTGATTTCTCAACTTTATTTGGAAATGAGACGTCTACCACGAATGTTTGAATTCAAATGTAGAGAAGGGAACAGAATAGCAGGGAATAAAATAGAATAGAAGAAATTCATTTAAGAACTGCTCTTTGTCGTGCTATGTATTTTTTATTGTTTCTTACTACCATTCACTTCTATAGGGTGTAACATTTCCAGCCATGAATTATCTGATCAGCACTTGGGCGCCCATGACAGAACGCAGCAGATTTTCTACAATCATATTTACAGGCAATCCATTCGGGAATGTGATTGCCATGCCTATATCTGGTCTTCTCAGCAGTGCAAGTTTTCTAGGAGGATGGCCGGCTGTATTCTACGTCTTTGGTATGCATTTCTTTAAAAATATATGTATATGAGCCCATGATGGCTCAGAGGATACAGCGTTCGCTCTCCCATGAGGTAAACCGGCGGATTCGAATACCTGCAATAGCTGGTTGAAATGAATTCCACACCCGGCACACACCGACCGCAGTGCTGATGTAAAATACTCGTATCCGCAGTGAGAAGACGGAGCATGGGTCAGAATTCCCTAGCCGTCAGGAATACCATCGGAGATTTTCTTCTCCATGTAGCACAAATGTGGATTAGTTCCATTAAAAAGTTTTTAATTGTTATGCATGTAAATTTTTAAGAAATGAATAAAATTACTTAGCAGTTTCTTTCGATCCTTTATTTAATCAATCATGTGAGTGTGTGTATCAAGAATTCTAACATTTGTTCACCTCTTTGCACTGAAGGTTACGCCGAGATAACTTAACCTACATTTCATAATAAAAAATCTTATTATGACAAGTGTGTAGTATTTAAGAAGTAGAGTATCCTGAATAACTTTTGATCTAGAAATCGGATTTCACTCTATCTTAATAAATTAGAAAAGATTATCTTAAACTTTATAATTTGTTAGATCACACTGGGTGTTACGAAATTGACACAAAGACGTATTTTCTCTAAGTATCAAAGTATTTTTTCTCTAAGTATTTTTTCTAAGTTTCAAAGACGTATTTCTTCGACAGATTTAAATCTCTCTTCCTTCAACAGTAGAGGTATAACTGCAATTTGGAAAATATGGTCCCAATAGACTGGTCAGGTGTCAAAAGCTTAGACCCTCTAAATGGAAATTTTACTTTCTGCGCAATTCGCCATACCTTGAAAATTTTTTAAGTGAAACAAAAAATGTTTGCCCACAAATATAGTTTTTCCTAACTTTTTGTTATTTTTACTTATTTTATTTAATCATAATCAAAACATTTTTAATTGTAAAGTACACTAGACTTTTATATCAGTCAAAGAGAGTAACGTAATACGGCAAAATACAAAAGTTGAATGTAATCGGTCGAATAGTTCCGGAAAAATCAAATTTTAAATAAATGTCGTGTATTTAAAATCGATGTTTATTTTCTGATTTTTTGACGGAAATTTTTTTTTATAATCACTATCAAAAATATTTTAGTCTAAATGTAACTAGTAAAAGAAGTTTTAGTGTCGAGCTTCTATAATTACAAACTACTTTTTGATGTGTTTTGGTTAATAAACGTAACAGAATTCTAACAATTTTTCTGTTTTTTTATCACAAAACTAAATAAAAAGGAAAAACATTTCATTTTGCTTTTGAATTACTATAAAATGATCAATGACAAAATGCTATAAAGAAATATTTAACATTTCAGGTGGCCTTGGATGCATATGGTTTGTATTTTGGTCTTTCTTAGTATATGAAACTCCAGATAGACATCCTACCATTTCCAAGGAAGAGCTTTTCCTTATTGAACAAAACAACGATGAGAAATTAAAACAGGTTAGAGAAAAACTCTTTTAATTATTTCATTATATTTATTAAAATTTGAAATGTAACGATTTGCTGTAATCTTTAATAACAATGTATAAAACGAAGCATGATGATGTTTTGAAACTTATCAAGAACATTTTTGATTATATCAAATCTCCTGTTATTCAAAAAACGAAAAATTAGTCTGTTCTGTGGATTTTCAGATATATTTCAATTAGAAATATAAAATTATGCGCCATCTATTGGTGGAAATTTTAACCAAATGGTGATTGTTGTGTAATTTGGTGAGTTGATTTCTTGTTCTTTCTTCTTCTTGTTCGCCATAAATTTTATCACGCTCATTTTATTTTGTACTGATTTTCAAATTTTATTATTCATTTTTTAAAGACCTAATATCTTGAAAAAATAAGGAAACAACTTGATGAGGAAATGCCACGTTTGGAAAAAGTGTGGTTAATAGGGAGTCGTGGTCATCCTGCTACTTCCGATTTTTCTAATAAAATTATTTTCCGCTGATTTTTAGTTTTTTGTCCTCATATTCCTGCTTCTTGTATATGCGTTCAGAACATTCTGTGTTCTATGAGTTCAAAGATGGATTTAAAAATATTCGATTTGAGGAATTTGTATTTTAAATTCAAAGTCTATGTTATTTTAATTAATATTTCTCGAACAATTCGCTACATTCGATAAACGAAAGGGTACGTCCAAACTTACGTAAAACATGCTTTAAACAGCATTAGAAGTAAATTTTAATAGTGGACAACTCTTTGCCTTTGTAGAGGTCTTTTTTGATGAAACTAACCCGCATTTGCGTTTCGTTTAGTGGAAAACCTCGAAGCCCCCCACGGTTAGCCAGGCAGCAAGAGCACTCTAACCCATGATCCATTTACCACTGAGAATATTTTTCGTCAGCACTGTGATCGGTGCAAGCCGGGTTCAAAATTCGAAGCTCAGCAATCATCGGGATTCTAACCCGGTTCCCCTCATTGTGAGGCGAGCTATCTATCACCTGAGCTAAAACGGCTCGCATAATTTTATTTTTCTGCCCTACGCCGCTTGTCAATACTGACAGATCTATTTTAAGCCATTAAGTGAGCTTCTTCTCATTTTCTAGGGGGGCCGTCTATGACCAAGAATTCGTCTTCTGCCACACATATACATCACAGTCCGTTTTGTAGGTAGGACACATTCACTCACCATCCATCCGCAGATCTTAATTTTGACTTGAGCACGATAATCTCCCATCCGCTAACCCCAGAAGCGTTGATTTGTAATTGGAACTTGGAGGACTTTTTGACCCGACTCATTTAGCGTGCACCAGTCACCATTTATTGCACGGAGAGCCTTCGAACTCACGATCTCTTGAACATGGTCCAATGCTCTACCTACCAGGCTATCCCAGCCCTGCATAATTTTATTACTTTGCATTTTTCGGAAAAATTTATAGACACTCAGAACAGATTGAAAATGTTAAGCGTCTCATGTTCTTAAATGACCATTGCTAAACCAAAGATATGTAAATCTATGAACCCACATTTTCATCAAAAGATGCTTAAGCATTAAACATGATGTTTGAGGTGTTTTTTATAAACTACAATGAATCCTCTTTTTCTTTATAGTTAGCAATAGGAGTTACTGTTTCCTTCTGAAAAAAAAGAAAAAAAATAGTTACAATATTTTTGGAAAATATCTGTAGAATTACTGAACGACAGTGACGGTAACCTGATACTTTCAAAAACTATCTAAACGGGCATTATTAACATAAGAATACCATGTGTAACGACCGTTAAGACAAGTCGCTGCAAGAAAACGAAATATGCAGTAAGGATGGATATAGGTTCGACTGTTTATTTTTTTTCCGAATTCAGTACTCACAACATTAACAGACAAGCCAACTTTCTCCGGACAGCGGATAAATATTTTCGAGTGGCAGTCTTTTAATGTACAATTTTTGCTTTAAAAAAAATTGATTTATAGAGTTTTTACTCACTATTTCGAAAGAATTCAAACGTCTAAGTGATACCTCAGCTTGTTACAATTATTTCGTGTTGAACATTTTAAAAGGAGGTCAAAACTAACCGTTAACTGTTCTTTCAGTTTATAGTTGTCTACCCTTTCTTAAAATATTTCGACGAATCTGGAGCAACTAGCATCTTTGCATGTACCTTATTAGAAAGCAAGAGATTATTATAGTATATAAACTGAATGTAGTTTAAAATGTTAATTTTTTTATTTTTAAAAGTGGTTATTAAATTAATTAAAATTATTATTGCGCTTTAGCTCACGCTTTGCAAGTACTTCGTAAGACAGCAAATGCCTACTTTGAAACGATTTAATCATACATACCCTCCAACTGCTACGGAATTTCCGTAGTTTCAGAAATCTTCTTTTCAGACGGTAGCAAAATTAATGTCTTAATATTTAAAAAAAATTAATTTTAGCGTATCTTGTCCACTATTACTTATAAAAGTGCAGGCCATATGGCTAGATTCTAAAGTTCTGATAAAAGTTTTATGAGAGATCCATTTGCTTTAAAAATTTCTACTTTGGTTCGCTACCACTAGAAAGAATTATTTTTAAAATCCTCATAAGTTGGAGGGTATGAATCATATGTAATTTAAAATTTAAATTATATATTTTTTATTTTTAAAAGTGGTAACTAAAAAATTTAAGTTTACTATTGATTGAAATAATTAGTGTCGTTAAATATTTTTATCCCTACCTGCTATTACGTTGTAGAACGGATCACTATAAAATTAAAGATGTTATATTTAATCGAAGTTAATTCTTAAAAATTTCATAAAAGGAAATTTATTTTGAAATGTAAAGAACAACTATTATATGGCTATTTTTTTAAAATTATAATAATTCTTTAAAAAGAAGTCTATTCTTCTTCTCTTTTCATCAAACTTCATTGTTTTCCAAGTTTCCTCTATATTTTTAACTTATTTTAGGAGTTCCATAGTAGCTGGGCATTATATTTAGCGTGCAACTTATGCGTAGTAAATAAAGTTTATTAATGTTTCTAGCTTTCCTCGTTGTTTTTTTCTTTTTTGGGGGAAAAGATTTTAGATAGAAAATTTTGGCAAATTTCAAGATTTATTTGCAGAGAAGTTACAACTTTTACCATTTAGATTTTTTTTCTCATAATGCTCAATAACCTACTTTTCAACATAAAAAAAGGAAGATATTTATTGTTTTTAATTTTTATGAAACTAAACAGTGGAAAAAGATAAACTGTGAATTTTGCATATTATTCACAATGAAAATTAAAACATTTTACAAAAAAGCTTTTAATATTTACACAATGAAAGCATTTAAATTAATAATAGCATATGGTTTTTGATATTTGGAATGATGCATATCATCTTGACGCGTTGTGAGAATTAATTTAAGGGGTTAGAGTATTCTTTTAATACTCCATTTTTATGTAAATATGCATTTCTTATTTTGTTTAATTTATTAATTTGTAATGGTAGTTAGAATCATTCTTAATTATATCAAAAAATTCGTGAATGTAAAAGAAAAATACACATTTTTGTTAATCTGAAAATACAGAAGAATTTTTCTATGAAAATACAAAAAGTTTTAATTTGAAAATACAGAAGAATTGCCAGCTATCCACTAATGTGATAGAGTAAACCAACCAGTGAAGGAACACTACCCAGTGAAGGAACATTTCATTATATATTGATTAAAAATAAGAATTTGAAAGTTTTTCTTTAGATTGATTGGTAACAATAGCTTACTGCCAAACAATAGAAAGTCATCTAGCAATGTTTTGGACTACCTGGTCAAATAGATTTCCCTGGAAAAATTTTTGAAATTGTTATTATCTCTGCAACACCTTGTTTCGTTGAAAAAGTTATAAGGTGATTGTTTGTATTTATATGTTTGAATTGGAATTAATTGCATGCAATAGTTTTATTTTTCTCACTGTGAAAAATAGAATTCAAAATCTAGTTATTGAAGTTACGTTTTATTGTTTTAAAAGCATCATAGCATAATTAAGTATTGAGATAAGGGGGTGTTTATTCACTGGATCACCAAACGATGAAAAACCAGTGAAGGAACAAGTGTTCATTGACTGGTTTTTTTCTTCTAAGTTAATGAAAATAAAAGATAAACTTTACTTTTCTTGTACCTTTAGTGATGTTCCGAATCAAAAGTTTGTTAAAAATACGAAAAACAACTTCTAACCAGTGAGGGAACAGGCATGTTCCTTTACTGGGCATAGATTTCCCAGTGAATGAACAGTATGTGTTTATATGCTGACACTTTAATTTTCAATTCATGATTACAAAAAAAAGTTGACATTTTCCAAGTATTTGTATGTTATAATTTCAAGAATAGGCTTGTTTTTAAATATTTGTATGGCTTATAAATTCATAAAGAGCATTAAAAAATAACCAAAATTAAGTGTTCCTTTACTGGGTGTTCTTTCACTGGTAAGAGCTGTTCCTTCACTTGGTCTTCTTACTACTTGTTATTTGAACCTCTAAAACTTTAAAACAATATTATGTAAGTTCTCTACGATTTTTTTACATAATTTGCCATTAGTAACAAATATGTTGACACTCTAAAATTACGAATTTTGAAATTAATATGATTTTTTAAAAGGCAAGCGAAGCTTAAGTGTTCCTTCAATGGTTAGTTTACCCTACTATTTTTTTGAAAATAAGAAACAGTTAGGCAGGATGTTTTTTCAAGGCTTAAGGTTTCACTTTTACGTTTAATATTTTTGCTTCAAATTTTCAGAAACCAGCCGTTCCTTGGAGAGATATTTTTACGTCTATCCCGATGTGGGCTCTCATCATAGCGCATACTGGACATAATTTCGGATATTATTTGTTGATGACAGAGATGCCAACATATCTTAACAATATTCTTCATTTCGATCTAAAATCGGTAAGTATTAACATGTTTCATTTTTAATCAATTATGCCTTTAACTATGGCGGTGCAGCTCAGATTTTGCCTGCCCTCCTGTATTCTTTTCCAAGATAACGA